GACCAAGCAGAACACAATCCTCAACTACTTAACATTTAACAAGGAGGAGGTGATGGCCCAGTAGCATTATCGCTGGACTGTTAGCCTCAGAAACCCAGCTAATGTTCTGGGGACATGGTTTCGATTTTCCACCATTACAGGTGGTGGAGCTTGGATCAATAAAAATCTGGAGTTAAGTGTCTAATGATGACAAAGAATCGATTGTTGGAAAAACCCATCCGGTTCACTAATGTCCTTTAGGGAAGGAAACTGTCATCCTTACCTGGTCTGGCCTACATGTGACTCCAGACCCACAGCAACTTGGTTGACTCTAACTGTCCTCTGGGCAATTAAAGATGGACAATAAACGCTGCCTGGCCAGCAATGCCATCTTCCTGTGAATGAACGAATGAAAAATCAATTTGGCTGGTGCAAAACTGGAACCTCAGCATGAGTAAGGATTTTGCAGCTTTGTAAGGATTCTATGCGCCCTGCTTTTGTTCTTTACGCCTCATTCCAACCAGCAGGCATTAGGACCAGTTCAACTTCAGTCAATGTTTATTGCCGGTCCTGATATCTACATCTATTGCAATGACAGGAAATGTCGTGCCTGGGATGGTGCAGGGTAATTTCGTCCCAAGCAGCATTAAGCTTTCCTCAATAGGAGTGGCTCCAGTAAGCTAGAGACTGAGACCTTGTTGCCATCAGGTCACGTGTTGTGAAAGGATGCTGATGACATGAACATGTCTCTTAAATGTATGTTGTTGACTATTTGAGATGTAACACAACAACACCCCTTTTCCCAAAAAGAAGGACAAGAAACCCAAAAAAAAAGTGCACAGTGTTGTACATCCTCACCAATTGTCAAATCTATAATTATACAACTGGTAAAGCAGAGTTAACTCTCAATATAATGGCTTGGAAGGTTGACAACTCATCCTAATCTGGTGAACACAGACATATCTGGAGAGTCAAGCGTTGTTCTTGGATGCTTTTGGCAGACAGTGTAGTTGTCTCACAGTTAGTGGCGGTCTATCAGCATTTTGCACAATCATCATCATCAACATCAGAGTTTTATTCCTCTCTCCAAGGATTGGTTTGCTCACCGGCAAGGTGTATTTCCAACGCTCTGATAGCACAGAGTGCAAAACCAGGAAGTATTGTCTCTTGGGCTTTGACGTGGTTTCAATCTGCCGACCATGTTTTTCAGTTGTACATGAACTTGCTGACAGCTGAAATACAACAAGCGCAATAACATTGAAAATTTCCATCACTGTTCACCGTGTCATGTGGATGATCAATTGTTCATTAGAAATTGATTAACTCATGAGTTAATTTAAAACAGTAAAACACTTTACAAATGATGAAGCAGGCTATGTGCCAAGTGGAAAATGGGTTTAAAATAGTTAAATGATTGATTTTGACCAGTGTGGTTATGATGGATAAAAGGGCATTTATCTGTACTGTAGATCTCTGTGACTCTACAGCTCCATTACATCAAACCAGTTGATTTCTGTAGTGTGCAGTTCACCGACCTACAGCAGACTAATTGCCAGGCAGAGTCACAGCATTGTTTTACATACAGCTGATGGAGCCTTGAAGGTAAACTCTCCTTATAAGTGCATATACAACAATTGGTACGTTTAAAGAAAAAGTAAAATGCATCACCACCCTCCATTTATTTCCCACAATCCTGAAAATGAGTTCTCTTCAAGTACACCTCCAATTGTCTTGCTGACTTTCTAATAAGACCTGACTTCATGACCCTTTGAGGACGCTCATTCCAGATCTAAACAACATTCTATTTACAAGAAACATTCTCTTAACTTTCCTTTGAGTTCACTTGTGAATTATTTTAGTTCCATGACCTCAGAATACCCATCCCCTGCTACACAAACCATCATGATTTTGAAAACTTGACATGGTCTCCTTTTCTTGCCATTCATCCTACTGCTTTCTGTGAGATCAAAGTGGCTGCAAACTTAATTTGTGAATTCACAGTTAACAAACTTACAAATAAATAAATTGCCATTGAACGTGAACTGCATGAGTTTGACGCTGGTGTTAAAGTACAATAGAAATTTCAGCAGCGGGGCACATTTGGTGCAGTCGAAGTGTCCCTACTCCGGCCTAGAAGGCCCAGATTCAAGTCCCACCTGCTCCAAAGGTGTGTCATAACATGCCTGGGTAATTTGATTTAAAAAGGTCTAAATTTCAACAGTGGAAAAGGTATGACCTTTCCAACTTTCTTCAGTTTTGAAGAAAATCAAATTGAATTCAATAGTAATTCTATCTCTCTCACCAAAGATGCTGCCAAGACTTGCTGTGTTTCTGCAATAACCTCTATTTTTTTTCCCAGCATCCATGGTATTTTGCTTTCATTATACAAATATAAGGCTTATATCCTTCTGGAGAATTTTGACGCAGGCGGTTATGTTGAAATGGAAAGGTTAATTAGTTGTTTCATGTGCCTTGATGGACATAGCTCATTGATGAATTACAAGAGCATTGCATTATCATGTTCGGCTACTTATATTTGCTTTTGACATATAGGGGTTCTGACCATCGTCTTAATGAGTTATGAAGTGTGCTGGTAAGTCGTGAAGACATGAAAGGTGCTACACTAGTGCAAATGCTTTTCTGCTCCCTCTTTGATCTATATTGATGTAGAATCATGAGAAGTTTTCCTTCTATGGTATTTTTTATCAATCACATAATATTTTTAACCAAGAGTTATTTTGTTCCTTCAAGCCTTGCAGCTAAAATAATTTAAACCTGTAGGATAAAATCAAATGGTCTACAAAGCTGTGCAAAGACTTCCATCAAATTCTTTTCTGTGTCATCTTAACAAAGTTCATAGAAACCCCATAGTGAGGAAAGAGGCCATTTGGCCCATCAGGTCCACACCAACACATCCCAGCCAGACCTAGCCCCAAACCTTATCCCTGTATTTACAATGGCTAATCTACCTGGTCTGCCATCGGGCAATTTAGCATGGCCAATCCACCCACTCTACACATCTTTGGAATATGGGAGGAAACCTATGCAGACACAGGGAGCACATGCAAACTCCATACAGACAGTTGCCTGAGGCTGGAATCAAACCCTGCTCCTTGATTCTATGAGGCAGCTGTGCTAACCATTGAGCCACCGTGTCCCCCCCAAAAGTTACTGAACCACTAATAGCAGAGAGACCATCGTTGACAGTCTCAGGAACAATCAGCAAGACTAACAGAACGTTCTATTTATTCTTAAAGGACTAAAATACAAAAGTGGACTAAGTGATGCTTTACTTGTGCAGAGCCCTGGTTACACACTACCTGGAGCATTGCATCCAATTCTGGGCACCAAACTACAGGAAGGATATATGTTACTCTTGAATGGAGTTCACAGCAGATTCACCGAGTTATGTTATGGGTTCTGAATGTTGTTACAGACCAGACCAAACACCCTCAAAACATATAAGGAGATAGACTAAACGCAAACATTTATCTTATTTAGAAGCAAGTGTAAGGTGCTGTGTTCCAGATGTAATTTGACTGGTGAAACTACTAGGCTTTAAGCAAAACACATTTTATTCTGACAAAATAGTTAAAATACAAACAAATAAAGAATTGGTATAACTTTAACACTATTGAAATACTGAACAAAATAATATATTATTTAACAGTGACTCAATCACTGTTCCAATATAACAGCATCCCATAAACACACCCTTATCAAAGGCAAATTCAGCAAAACAGAGTTCCCTCACTTGCTATCTCCTCCAGTCCAGGAGAAGGAACATCAACTGAAGGAATCCAGCTGCAGAGAGAGAACTCAAACATTTGCAGCAGCAGAGAAAGAGCTGCATTTAGCAGCTTCAACTTCAAACACCCCCAACTTCAAAAACTCAAAGCAAAACTAATACCCTGGTTCTGGGTGAGCCTGAATACATGCACTAATGCTTCTTTTATCGAATTTTAATGAAAAACCCAAAACTATTTACTCTGCTTTCCATGGAGCAGACACCTCACCACCAGATTTACAAATCCCTGTTCAAGAGAAATAGGACAGAACAACTCCTATTTCAAGGCATACCACCACAATGTATAATCTTGGTTTGTATGCCATTCATTATGCAAGTCTGAAGGATGGTTTCATGAAGATGATTAAAACAATGCACAAAAAATCATCAGGTAGTGTATTGTTCATTCTTTCACAGGTACCTCATAGCACATCCCCAACTCAACCATTACCATCAAGCCAGGGGATCAACCCTGGTTCAATGAAATCTGCAGGAGGCCATGCCAGGAGCGGCCCCAGATACACCGAAAAATAACCTGGTGAATTTACCACACAAAGCTTATTCACGGTCCAGACAATGGAAGCAACAGGGGTAAGAGATCCCACAAATAGCAGACCAAATCTAAGTTCCATAGTCCTTCTGAATTCAATGATGAATGTTGGTGGATAATTAAACCACAAACAGGAGGTACAGATTTAGAACATAGAACATAGAGCATAGAACAGTACAGCACAGTACAGGCCCTTCGGCCCACAATGTTGTGCCGAACATTTACCCTAAACCTAAGGTCTATCTAACCTCCACTCCTACCTTATACTATCATTCATAGGCCTATCTAATAGCTGCTTAAATGCCCCTAATGAGGCCGACTCCACTACCCTCTCCAGTAATGCATTCCACACCCCAACCACTCTCTGAGTAAAGAACCTACCTCTGACGTCTCCCCTATATCTCCCTCTACTCACTTTAAAACTATGTCCCCTCGTAATAGCTACCTCCTCCACCCGAGGAAAAAGTCTCTGGCTGTCTACTCTATCTGTACCTCTGATAATTTTGTACACCTCTATCAAGTCACCTCTCATCCTTCGTCGTTCTAAAGAGAAAAGCCCTAGCTCTCTCAACCATTCCTTGTAAGACCTTCCCTCCATTCCAGGCAATATCCTGGTAAATCTCCTCTGCACCTTTTCCAACGCTTCCACATCTTTCCTGTATCTGTTTTTAAAATTTGCTTAATGAGGGGTGCACCATTCCTGGAAGCCCTGCAATACCAAGTTGATGCTCAGAGTGGATGGAGTAAGCCCCTATTCCAACTCCCTGCTCTAAAAATCAGTTTAATACAGGATCATTAGAGAAAGGACATATCAGATATTAAAACTGATCAGAACAGAAACTACACTTGATTTTAGCCAATAGGCTGAGAAGTGATCTTCCCATCTGAGAAGGGTGAGGCCAGCATATTAGTCCAAAAAAACAATTCTGAATCATTTGAAACCAACTTCAGCCACAAGTGGTGAGTGGATGATAAATTTCAGCCCCTTCCTGAGGTCCATAGCATCAGTGATCATTCAGCCAATTTGATCCACTCCAAATGGTACAGTATGGACTCTAAATATTGATGACTAGATCCCAGCAATGAATATGAATGAGAAAATGATACTGGCAGTATTAGCCACCTTTTATACCCATATTCAATTATCCAGGAGTTAATAGTCATAGCCACCATCGTAAACCACTGCAGTCCATGTACTGCAGATACACTCATGGTGCTCTTGAGGGGTGAGTTGCAATTCTTTCGTCCAGTGACAGTGAAGGAGCAGTGATATAGCCCAAGTAAGGCAGGTGAGTGGCTTGAAGAGGAGTCTGCAGCTGGTACTATTACTACGCATCTGCTGTCCTTACCCTTCCGTGTGCAAGAGGCTGGAAATTTGGAAGATCTTGCTGAAGGAGCTCCGACAAGGTACTGCAGTTGATAGATGCACTGTTTCCTGTCGCCAACCAAGTCTCTACCCACATCAGTAGTCAGCTTTGGCAGTGATGCCTGTCACGTTCCTGAGATTACAAAAGAAAATGCCATTATATCTGGCAACTTTACGTCAGAAATCTTTATAAACACATGTAATCAGATTTCAAAGAAGTAGTGTCTGCAACATTTCACTGATATGTTTAGTTGTACGCAAAACAGATTTCATTCATAGAATTGCTACAATGCAGAAAGAGGCCTTTCAGTCCATCGAGTCTGTACTGACCCTCTGATGAGCATCCCACCCGTACACAACCCCGCCACCCTTTCCCCATTTGCCCATAATCCACCCAGCCTGCATATCTCTGGACACTATAGGCAGTTTAGCATGGCCAATCCACTTAACCTGAAGGAGGATACCAGACCATCTGGAGGAAACCCACACAGACGTGAGGAGAACATACAAACTCCAGTCACCCAAGTTTGGAATCAATCCCAGGTCCCTGACATTGTGATGCAGCAGAGCTAACCACTGAACTAACATGGCGAATCTGGAAAGATTCTACTGATAGCTATTTGGCAATGAAGGGTAGAGACTCCAGTTAGAACTGAGGGCTAAATCAATGTTATTGGTTCCTGCAGAAGTCTCATTGTGAGACTGTGCTCTTTCCTCAATGTCAAGAGAAGAAAAACAAATCAGATCAAATGTTCTCCCCAGTTGCTAGAAACCAATTGTCCAGGAAGTACATGTATACTATATGTTGAATGAAGACATGTAGAACTCCCCTTTATATAGACCAAATCACAATTATAGAGATATTACAGTACTTTTTGGAAAGTGGGAATTGGTGTTAAGATGACTGTTTATTATCCATCTATCATTGCTCTCGGTGGTGAGCCAATTCTTCAACCACTGCAGTCCACACAGAATCCCTACAGTGTGGAAGCAGGCCATTCAGCCCATACTGACCATCCAAAAAGCACCCCATCCAGACCCAATCCCTTACCCTAGCACTGTAATCCTACATAACCAATCCACCTAATCTGCACATCTTTGACCTGTGGGAGGAAATACCACGCAGACATTGGGAGAATGTGCAAACTCCACATAATTGTCTAGGGCTGGAATCAAACCTTGGTCTCTGGTGCTATGAGGCAGCAGTGCTAACCATGGAGCCACTGTGCCATTTCACATGGCGAAGGAGTCCCCATGTGGCTATTCAGGAGGGGAGTTCCAGTATTTTAGCACAGCAATAATGAAGGAATAGCTTATGTTAGTTCAGCCAGCAGCAGTCAGCTGTTTGCACTTTTAACAATTACAGATGGAAGCCAGAATATGGAAACTTTCAATCATGAAATTGGACTTTGAAGGCAATCAGTCCATTGTACCAGTACCAGCCTTTTGCAAATGGCTATCCAATTTGTCCCACTCCCCTGATCATTCCCCGATTCAACAGAATACTTCAACTTTCCAAATATTTACCCAACTGTCATTTAGAAGTTACCATCCGATTTGCTTCCATTGCTTTTTAAGGTTGCACATTCCTGATTACAACATCAGGCCGTTGTAAATGTGAAAAAAACTTTTTTAATCCACTTCTTTTGACAACAATCTTTAAGTCTATCCTTTGGTTACCGCCCTCTTGCCAATTAAATTGATTTATTCTAACTGGGGAGCTTCCTCTTTGCTGTCTGCCTCTCACAATGATTAACCATGAGATCTACTGTCCAACAGCTCAAATCTGCTTAAAATCAGCAGAGATTTTAAATCAACTGAGGATAGAATGATGAGAAAGTAAAGGGATGGGGAAAGGTGTTTAACACAGTTTAAGTAACATTGGCACCTATAGTTCTGACAAATTAGCAGTGGGTTGTTGGTGTATACTGATGGGCCAAATGGCCTGCTTCTACACTGTAGGGATTCTATGAAATGGTTATCACTAATATTTGGATGGATATTCAGTACAAGTGAAAATGGTTTAAAGACTGAAACTGAGCCAGATGATGCAAATCAACAATTATAGGATTGTGGAGGTCTCCTCTACATTGGGGAAATGAAGTGCAGACCGGGCAACCACTTCACAGAACACCTATGTTCTGTCTGCAAAAAAACACCTTGAGCTTCTAGTTGCAATCTGCTTCAACACATCATCCTGTTCCCTGGCTAATATCTCTGTCTCGGGTTTTCTGCAGTGTTCTAATGCAAGCTGGAAGAACAGCACTTCATAATCGTTTGGAAACCCTGCAGCTTCTGGACTCAATATTGAGTTCAACAATTTTAAGACTTGAGGCACTTTCGTATGTACTTATCCCAACCCCCACACACCAGGCCTTGTCATCACATGGGATGCTACCACAACAGCCCCATTGTCAGCTACTAATGGTCCCCATGAACATCTATTCTTTCCCCCAAGACCTTTAAACACTCCTCTGTCTGTTCAAATGATTTAGTCTCTCTTTGGGCTCTATCTTCACCTATCATTTACTCCTTCTGTCCCCATCCCAACCCCAAAAACACCTCACCCCATCTTCTTCATAAATACCAACCTTTTCCTGGCTATTGTCAGTTCTAAAGAAGTGTCAGGATTCAGAAGAATGGGAGGGGATCTCATTGAAACATAAAATCCTGATGGGACTGGATAGGCTAGATGCGGGAAGAATATTCCCAATGTTGGGGAAGTCCAGAACTAGGGGTCACGGTCTAAGGATGAGAGGTAAGCTACTGAGCTGACAAAGAATTTATTGCTCAGAGAGTTGTAAACCTGAGGAATTCTCTCCCACAGGAAGCTGTTCGTTAGATATATTCAAGAGGGAGTTGGACATGGCCCTAGTGGCTAAAGGGATCAAGGATATAGAGAGAAAGTGGGAAAGAAAGTGAATTGCATGATCAGCCATGATCGTATTGAATGGTGGTGCAGGCTCAAAGCGCTGAATGGCCTACTCCTACACATATGACAAGGAAGCAAAGGGGAATATGTGTCTGGTGGTGACATCCCACTGGAGACGGTGGATTACCATCGTTTGGATGTGGATGCTGGTAGTGTGGTAAGGGAGTAACAGGTGGACCCTATTGCTGCTGTGGGAGGGAAGAGAGGCTGTGAGGGATCAAGTGCGAGAGATGGGTCAGACATGGCCTGAAGAGGCAGTTGAGCCCATTCTGATTCAGAGTTGAGTTAATAGAAATCTTATCACTGATTGTCCACAATTCATGCTGTTAATCCTGTTTGAACTGACAGCGTGGTGCCTCAGTGGTTAGCACTGCTGCCTCACAGTGCCAGGAACCCGGGTTCGATTCCACCTTCAGGTGACTGTCTGTGCGGAGTTTGCACATTCTCCCCGTGTCTGTGCGTTTCCTCCCACAGTCCAAAAGATGTGCATGTTAGAAGGATTGGCCATGCGAAATTGTCCAGAGTGTTCAGGGATGTGTAGATTAGGTGGGTTATAGGAGGATGTGTCTGGGTGGGACGCTCTGTGGACTTGTTGGGCCGAAGAGCCTGTTTCCACACTGTATGGATTCTATGGATTATATTTCTACAAATAGCTTACAACTTACCGCATGTTATCCTCATCTCCATTCATTGTATTTTGCAGGTTTCATAAGGCACGTTGTCATCCTGTGAGAAATATTTCCTTTTAAATTTAGTATCTCCAATAGTTTCTGGCCTTAAACAAAATATTCCTCTTGGATTGACTTGCATTGGAATATTCCTTAAATCTGCAGAAAAAAAAATCCACTGGGAATTTATTTTTTTCCATCTTGTTGAGGAAGCAGAGAGAGCTCACAGAAATAAATCAGCTTAACAAATATCAAGTCGGAAATGAGAAGTTCTAGTGAATTCCCTCAACATGTAACCTTGAAGAAATGAAAAAATATTTGTGGTTGTAAAGCACACATTCAACTAGCAGAACCCAAAGATCTGGATTTCCCTCCCGAGAGCTCTCCACCTCTCTGCCTCACTCTCTATGCTAATGACAGTCCTTATAATGCCCCTTTTTGAAAACCTTGCATTATTTCTTACTTTTAAAGGTGCCATATCAGTACAAGTTTCTTTTGTGTTGTGTTTTATTGTTAATGCAGTGAATAATATTTTGTACAAGGGTTTTATTCTTGTTTGTCACCCAGATCTTCAAAAAAGTGATGTGTCACAATAGACTACAACTACAGGGACTGTTCCCTCCATGATGCATTGATCCACTCCTCTTCCACTCCCAACACCTCCCCTTACTCCCATGGCACCTTCCTATGTCACAGAAGGTGCAACACCTTCTTCCTCCCTCTTCACTATCCAACGCTTTACCTGCACTTCATTCCATCTAGCCGACTGTATTTGCTGCTCACTATGTGGTGTCCTCTACGCTGGGGAGACGAAGCACAGACTGGACATCTGCTTTGCAGGACACTGTCTGTAAAAATGTCCCTGAGCTTCCTGTTGCCCACCACTTCAACACACCATTCTGTTCCTCGG